CCAACTCAAAAAAAAAAAACAAAAAGAGAGATGATTGTGCATGGGTGTGTCTGATAGTCTGTGCACCCAGCCACTATTTGCGGTTGACTGGGTATCACCAGGGCTGGCATGGTCGTATAACAGAGCCCATGTAGAAAGGTAGCTGCGCCCACATGAGGGTGGGGCAGCCCGGGTCTGTTGGAGTCAGTGCGTAGAGGCACCCAGGACCAAGATGCGGTGTGTGGGTACACACTTGCACACTCAGAACTGTGGCAGAAGTGTGTGCAGAAACACTGGGTCTCGCCTGGGGCCAGCTGGCTGCAGGTAGGCCAGATTCCTCCGGTGGCCCGGGACACAGTTCCTCAAACGTGCCTGTGCATGGGATGCCCTGGAACGCTTGTTCAAATGCAGATTCTGACTCAGTAGCTCTTGCACCTCTAGCAAGCTTCTAGGGGCTGCCAGTGCCGAAGGTACACCCTACTTTGAGCAGCGTGGTTCTGGGACAGCAGATCCTAAGCTCTGTTGCATGTTAAGTCGTGGGAGTCGACTCAAGTCTCACCAGTTGAGTCCCTGGGATGAGGACCGAGCATCTGTGTGTGTCCAAGCTTCCTGGGTGCTTCATGGTGCAGCTGGGAGTCCTAGCCAGAGTCCAGGAGGTCCCCTTGAGCTGTTTCAGACCCACCAGAGAGAGGAGACCCTGGCAGCTGCGGGTGGTGGGCCAGGGGTTGTTCATGGAAGTGTCCTCTCTGGTTCCCTTCCTACCTGGTGGTCAGTTGTGCCAGGCCGACTCTGATGGGCAAAGCCACCAGAGGAACGGGGGAGTCACCTGCAAGTCCGCTGTCCCCCTGCTCCACCTCCCAGCCCCCAAGTCTCCCAGCCTGGAGCCCTGAGCTTGGCCAGGATCACAGTGTCCTCACTTTCATTCCCAGGTGGAGGTTTTGTATGAGGACGAGCCACTGAAGGAATATTACACCCTCATGGACATCGCCTACATCTACCCCTGGCGGCGGGTAAGCCTGGCGGGGCGGGGGGCACACCCCTCTGGGATTTGGGGCCACCTGGGTCACCCTTCTCTGATCAGCCCACACCTTGTCCCCGACCTGGTGTGTCCAGGGGGGCCTGCCACACCACGGCAGCCATGGGGCCACCCTCGCCGATGTCCTTCCACACTCGGGAAGAGCTCCTTGGGCAGGTGACAGACTGTCTGGGGTCAGAAACAGGTGCCGGTGGCTGTGGACGGATATGCGCTGCTTCCTGCATTTTGCCCCCAGCCCCTCGCCACACCTCTGGCCTTACACTTTCTACCTCTTGGTTCTTTGCTTGTGCCCACGACTGTCTCCTCTCTCTCCAAGCCCCCTTCTGTCCCTGTTTTCTTGTTTGGACGCGGGGTTAGAGTTGGTAGCTCCCTGCCTGACCTCTCTTCTGACACCAGTCCCCTCCCTCTCCCCACAGAACGGGCCGCTCCCCCTCAAGTACCGTGTCCAGCCAGCCTGCAAGCGCCTGACCCTGCCCACGGTGCCCACTCCCTCCGAGGGCACCAACACCAGCGGGGCGTCCGAGTGTGAGTCAGTCAGCGACAAGGCTCCCAGCCCTGCCACCCTGCCGGCCACCTCCTCCTCCCTGCCCAGCCCAGTCACCCCCTCCCATGGCTCCCCCAGCTCCCACGGGCCC